ACGTATTCATCTCATATCGCGTTGAATGCGCGGGACAAAGATGAATATAATGCAGTTTGTCAGTACTGTATCAGTGCAACAATAATTATTGAAATAAGAATTTTTTTATAATATAATAATAATAATAATAATAATAATGAGAATATAATAATAATAATAATAATGAGAATATTATAATAATAATAATAATAATGATGATGAGAGGATGATGATGATGATGATGATGATGATGATGATGATGATGATGATGATGATGATGATGATGATGATGATGATGATAGCAGGTTTTGTTAAACGGAAGTCAAATATTTTTAATGAGGTATTAGAAAACGTACGAAACACTGGATATTTAATATTTGAATATTTAAAAACAAGTTACAAATAAAGAAATGATTGTAAAATATGAGTTATTTAATTTTATAAAATATTTATATTTTATTATATTAATTTTATAATATTTATTTAATTTTGGTCGTACGGCAGCTATCGCAATGCTTACGGTAGCTATTGCAATGTTATATTTTATTGATCAACATTTATGTTTCGTGTCGTAATGTTTTATTATCGCAACGCTACGCAAGAAATATATTTGCTAAGGCATAGCTTTATTTGCATATATTATTTACATGAGCATTATTTGCATTAGTATAAAACATTAGTATAAAAGAATGCAAATCGCAGCGAATTTGCAGTTTTATAATTAATTTCATTCTCTAAAGTATTATCAATTGATACAAGTAAGAGATACGAGCTTAATAAATGAATATGTACTTAATGAATATGTACTTAAAAAAAAGTTATGAAAGTTTTATTGCTGTTTATATTTTTATACATTTTTTATTTTATAAATTCTTTAAGTTGAAATTATAGTTATTTATTTTAATTAACTTAAGAATTTTTTAATCAACAATTTATTAATTTTGATAATATTTTTTAAAGATTTTTAGATATAATAATACATAATCTATATATTATACAAGATTATTAATTCTTCTTGTTCAACAAATTTTTTGTAAAATAATCAGTTATTACAAAGATACATTAAATTCATTATTAAATTAGCTATTTAAATAAGTAATTATTTAAATAATTAACATAAAATGGAAGAGGAAGAATCATTGGATTTCAAACCGCATTTGATATATCAGATGCAGAAAAAGTAGAACTCACGACGAAGAAAATTACCCATACAATGTAAAAAAATGTTATGTAACGCCGATAATATCTCGGTAAAATATATAAAGAAAAGCCGTTGAATTTTGAAGAAGTAGTAAGACAAATTCAAGAAGAATTGAAGGAGCGAAACAAAGGTTTCGAAATGTTTTTTATCAAACTTTCACCCGCTACTTATGTAAACAATATATGCAAATAAAACTACTCTCTTCACAAATCTATTTCTTGCGTAGAGTTGTGATAATAAGATATTATGAAATATAAATGTTGCTCAATAAAATATATTTATAACATTGCAATAGCTACCGTAAGCACTGCAATAGCTGCCGTACGACCAATATTAAATGAACGATATTTTATAAAAATAATCATTTCTTTATTTGTAACTTGTTTTTAATTGTCCACGGTACTGCATACATTCTTTGATCATCAAAAATATTTGAGTATTGTTTAATGAATCCACTATCATTATTAAGATTATGATTATGCTTATGATTATTATTAATAAAAGGAAGAGAGGCCACTGAACAAAACAAAAATAAAATAACATGAACAAAACAAATTCGAATAAACATACAACAATATTTATTGAAGGTGACACTGTTAATTAATTGTTTTTACAATAAATTAACAGTGTCACCTTCAATATAAATTTGATATTGTA